TTTGTAAACAAAGCAAATTTTGTAAAACTTTATAATAATTTTGTGTTAAAATGGTTAATTTTTGCGCTGTATGTGGTTGTTGTACCCGAACAGATATTGTTAGGGAGCATCTGGAGGACACTCTAAGGATTTGTGACGTCAGTGCAATGGGTCTATATGATTGCATGGTGTCGCAGTCTCGACCCCAGCGATCTATTGTTTCTCAGCCAAAGTATTGTCTATATGATTGCATGGTGTCGCAGTCTCGACCCCAGCGATCTATTGTTTCTGAGCCAAAGTATTGTCTATATGATTGCATGGTGTCGCTGTTCAAACTACGGCCAGCTCCTTGCAATATCATATCTAACGATCTATTGTTTCTCAGCCAAAGTATTGTCCATAAGATTTGTGTCATCATCCCAGTCAAGGATGTTGAGAAACTCGTACACTGCACCGTAATTCTTGGGGTTATAGTAAGGATTAGTCAGATCCACCGACACTTCCCTAGCTTTCCTCTGGTCTGCAAACGATAGACTTGCGATAGTCGAGGCTTTATAGATAGCTAAGACAATGCTGTTCCCATCGTCCGACAGAGCGCAGTCCGACACGGCATGGTCAGCGGTGAATGATCCGATTTGCACCCCACGAGAAGTGTCCCAAAGCCTAATCGTACGATCTCCGGAAATGAACGTCATTGCCCGTTTACCATCCAAACTTAGTTGAATCCCGTTGATCTGTTGACGTATCCCACAAGGCAATGGGAAGAGTTGCGCGCCAGATCTTAAGGTATATACCATGACGGTGTTTCTGTATTCTTTCTTGAAGGAACAGATTAGAATACCACTTTCAGATGACGCGGCTATCGTGTGTACTGATGCACCCTTGATAGGAATCTTGCATTGCACTTCTGCAATGTCTATGTTCCATACTACTATATGTGTACAGTCGTTGATCTTAACCGCATCAACAAGGTACTTCCCGTCACGCGTGATGGCAGCTTGACATAGTTTCGGATAAGTGTTTTCCACGCGAAGCCATCCGATAATCTGCTTCTTCTCCAAGTTCCAAACCGCTGCAGGGCTATTCTGGTACGAGCAAACTAAAGTCTTGCCGTTATCACTGACAAGAACAGTCTCAATACAGTCTTTGTGTCCGCTATCAAGTTTCGCGACTGACTGTCCGTCATCGAGGGAAATCAGATTAACCACATCTCGCTTGCTGGAGAGCATCAAGGCGTATTTCTGTCCCACAATGGCCACATCACTGAACTGTGCACATTTTGGTTTCGTGGTCACTCCTGAACGTTGTAACAGACGAAGCGATAAATTCCTTCGCTTGTATAAAGAACTGGCTCGCCGTTCCAGTCGACTTCGGCTCCGCATGTTTGGAAACGACACTCGAAGTTTCTTGATCAACCGTCCCTCTTCCAAATCGATCAACGCAAGCTTCCCCATGCTTCGAAGTACCGCGCGCGTTTCGTCCACCACAAGAATATCGTCCGCTTGAGTCCCTTTAAGTATACGCACTGGCTTACAATTCGATAAATTCCAGACCACGATATCCCCGGAAACTTTAGAACGACTTACAGCCTGTCGTTGCTCACCTCTACTCTTAACAAACATGATATTCCTGATGCAGTTGTCGTGTTTGTCTTGCGACAAGCCTTGTTGAATAGTTTCCTCCTTCTCCAGGTCCCAAACTCGGAGAATCCCGTTGTCGGAAAGCGTTACAAGCATCGTCAAATCGTTGGCGATAATGTCGGTGATAATGCTTGTCGGAGGATGTCGGAAAACGTTCGTAAGCTTCAATCCAGTTTCCAAACTCCAAACACTGATATCGTTGCGACTGTTGGTCGAGAGGATATAATGACCGTCCGACGTCAGGCGAGGATTTACGATGTCCCGTCCGATATTGCGCAACCAAACTCCGCTGGATAATCGGAAAACACGAACGTCGTATGACGTATCCGAACTAGTGAGTATCAGTCCGTCGCCGAATGAAGACAAAAACACGTCGCCAACACAATCTGTTGTGTTCTTTTCATACGCGTTGATGTGTGTTACAAATACGCCAGTAAAAACTTCATATATACGCACGAACTTGCCTTCGGTGCTCGCACAAGCAACATACTCTCGCCATCCAGCTATCTTATCCACAGACATCCCTTCTAATTCCGTAATTTCACTCATCATGAGGCCACTACGCAAGTTCCACGCTCTGACCACGTGCCCACACGCTGCCACCAAGACATCCTTCGAATCACCGGCCAAAGTGATGGCTCTAACCGTCCCTGGGCATTCAAGCTCCCAAATTTTCTTGAACGTACTCGTCTCAAAAACTTCCAGTCCCTTTCCGGCATCAACGACAAACAAACGGTTATTCCGACAAAACCGAACCTGCCGTATAGTAGAACCAGCGGTTGTGGTTCGTATAATCTTCCCGCTTCTGACGTCCCATAATGCAACGATGTTTTTCGAAGCAGATAGTCCCAATGTCGAGTCCGATGTCAGATCTGTGGGGCCGTAGAGCTCCATGGACGTGTGCAGGAGTTTTGTACCGGGGGGATTTAGACACCCGGTGTTGGGGATCAACGCATGCGCAGATTTTCGAGCGTCATTCAAAAGGCGGGCGATGTGATCAGATGAGGTCAAATCTGTTAACCGACCGATTAACTGAGCAGCTAGTTGATTTGGGTCAATTTGTAGTGCGTCCGAAGACATCTTCAGTGCATCCACGATCATTTTCAAATCCTGGTCCATCGGGCAATGTTTTCCAGTGAAACACTCGAGAACGTAGTCAATACTGGTGCCTTTCAGTTGCGCTTGAAGAAATGCGAAGTTACACAAAGCCAAATCTTTCAAATTCTCGATGTCTCCTAACTTGCATAAATAATGAGGTAGATCGTGCATCCGACGGACAAGCACGAGCGGATCTTCGGAAAGGCCCGTAGAATGCTTTCCGGCAAAGTATTGAGCCAAACTTTGATGAGCCAACTTTACTGCGTCTTCGCGATTCGAGAGATATCTATCAAACGCCAGATACCGGATGATCAGATGCCGCCATGTTAGGACTAACATCCCGTCGAAATAAACCTTGGAGACCAAAGGTGAGAGATCATGAAGTATCCGGGATAACTGGAACGACCAGACCCGGGAACTTGGCACCTTACCGGAAATATGTTCCCGGGTAAGTATCTCTTCCAGCTCTCGTTCGCTCAATCCAAACCGTGCCGCCGATAGGTATCCCATGATCCTTTGAATGACAAGCTTCCCATGCTTTTTCTCCATCGTAACAAAGTAATGTTCAATCACGTGTTTCAACGAGTTAGGCATGCGTACGCCCGAGTAATCCGCACTCTCCGCCAGCGGTATCTTGTGGTGAATATGGTGAAGTAATAGTTTAAGGTACAGGGTGTTGGGGCACTTTGGTACGGCGTTCAGAATGCGGTTGTTAAGGTCTTCTGAAGGTTCTGTGCCTCTAACTTGATACCATGTGGTAATGTAAGATCTGGCCTCTGTCTTATCAATCTCACCGACGTCGATAAAATGGTCGGTTGCGTCCTCAAATGTTGCCTAAAATGAAGGAAATAATCCGAATTATTTGCAATCTACTTGTTTAAAATTAAATTAAACTGAACAAGCTTTTATTTATCCTGGACTATCAGATCTAAACTATTTTTCCTGGAAATCCAGTAAGAAATAATGGATCTTCCAGGGGCTTCTGGGAAACAAGGCATATTTTGCAAGGGAAACAAAGCTAAAAAGATGATAGAGAACAAGGGAACATGTAAGATTGGGGAACAAAGAGAGCATGGTGAAATCTTCTTTGGAAGCAAGGGAACAAGAGAAGACTTTTCAAGGGAATACAGGGAGAAGGACTCCTTGGAAGAGCTTCATCCTTTGTTGGTCTAAATCACTGCAACATGCCAGCAGAGAAGGAGACAGCACCTTTAGACCGTTGTAGTAACCACCATTGGTCAAAGTTGTGAGAATAATTCGGACATGATCAGGCAATTCACGCGGCAGCCATAACAAGTTTGATTTCGGAAGTTCGTCCAAGCCATCCAAGATAATTAGAATTCGTCTTCCTTTCGTTGCATTGTGGAGGGAACTGAGGAACATCTTGACGATCGATTGGAAATCCTGAAATTTGAAATTTGTGTCAGTATAAAGAAGAAACATGAAATTTGTGTCAGTATATTAAAGATTGCGTGTTGTGATCAGAGAACTCAATTTATTGACGTGGAGTTCACTGCGTCTTAATAATTATCCATTTCCTAGTATAATAAATGAGACCAATGTTATGGAAACAGTTAACCGCACCTCTGGGATCAAATCTTTATTCCCAAACGCTCTGGACAACTGGAAACAAATACTCCTCAACAGAAATCGCAGATTACTTGAATGCCGCGTAGAACCAAGGAATCTGATTACTAGAGTCGTCCCTTCCACCATATTTTCACTCGCTAGTTTTGCTGCCATGGAAACCATTGTGCTTTTCCCACATCCGGGAGGTCCGTGAACCACCAATGGGGTTTTAGTATTCGCTCTCAGATACGTACTGATGCGTCGTTGAATGCCAATCGTCCGTTGTTGACTTTCATCTACATTTGAAACATTCTCTTGACATTTTAAGATGTGTTGTGCAATTTCTTTTATGTGTTGGTCTGTAATTGTGTTTACTGCAGGTTGTAGGGCCGAAATTTGAATTTTTTCTTTAATCTTTTCTATTATGGTTTTATGAAAATTATTCCGTTTCATAATGTCGTATTTAGCGAATTCATCGTACGAGATTATTGAGGTGTTGTTTCGGTCATATTGTTCTCGAAGGATTCGTAGTTCGGCTTTATCGTCGTTGCTTTGCTCGTCAAAGCCGTCGTTCTGGTACAGGTAGTCGACCTTTCTTTCTATCCACACAGCCGTGGAGCTTTCGTTTGATAAGTCGTTCCCGAGTGACGCAGCTTGTAACAGCGCTGAAATATAAACATAAGTTGTTAGAAGTTTTTCAGCTAGTTTCACGCACAAGTTGTGACAAACCTGCAGCAGACTTGTAGCAATGCTGTTCCAACAACTTGTCAACAGGATGTGTTCGCACTGCTTGTTCCCAGCTTGTTGACAACTTGCTACAAGGTTGTTGAGCTCAGCAGACTTGTTACAAGTTGTTCCAACAACTTGTTATCATCCTGCAATTCAACAGTTTGTCAACAAATTGTGAGTGACAACCTTGTAGCAACTTGATAAAATAACAGCATTGTTACAACTTGTTCACAAGCTTGCTACAAACCTGTTGAGAACACATCTTGTTGACAAGTTGTGAGATTTTTACATGTGTAAACGGAAACGAATTAAACGAAAAGTTTCACCATACCATTGAAAATATATTGCTGCTCACACTTTCGTTTAAAATCATTCTCCTCCATTTTCTCGAGCAGACGTTGTGAGACCTCTTCAATATTTTCCTCGTGAAGATCAGAACAGGCTTTTTTAAGAACGTAGCACGGGATTTCACGTGCGTCAAGTTCGTAAAGACTTCGTATCGCGTCGTGATCACTCGGCAGCATCTCTAGCAGAAGTTCGAAATCTTTGACATCAATCTTTTTGGGCAGACATCTTTCTCCCAAATTTTGACCAACTAGAACCTAGGTTTAAGAAATAATTTTGCTGTAGGTACATGGTACCCTAACGTTTTCTAAATGCCAAACTGTTATCATTTGGGCAGGGGAGTAGCCTGCCCCAAACGGGGGGGGTTGTCCCTAATCGTCCGGCCGTCAGGGGGCATGGTCCCCAGAAAAAAGGGACTGCATGTAAAAAGAGTGCGACTCCACCAAATACGATGTCCATGGTTTTCTTCGGGTACTGCAGTTTCTTCCCTAGTAACACTGCATGAATCTTACTGGACCTCCAGAGAACAGTTTGAACTGATAATAGAGCTATATACGTATAATAGAGCTATATCATAGATATCTTATATACACTAGATAGCGCACCTCTTTTAGTAAAATTGAAGCTAAGAGTGGGGCTTCGGTAGCGAAGTGGTTAGGGCACTTGCCTTTCACCGTCGCAGGTTCGAATCTAAATGAGGACTTCTCATTGTGACTCGAACTCAGTCCTAATGTGAAAAGAGTAAGTCAACGCTCTGCCGAAAATCCGGGTACTCCGTGTTTCCTCCCACAGGAAAAGTTGACAGGGTGGGTTAGGCACATAAGGTCTGGAGGCAGATCATTAATGAGGTATGGACTAATAGCGGCTGCTCAAGCGCCATTTGTAAGCTCAAAGTCTACCTCGGTCTGCTTCACGTCAGTCCGGTCTGGTTGATCTATCTAATCATAATGTAAAACTTCTGCAATTCAGTGTATGCTGCCATGGAAGTTCAAATAAACTATCTATCTAAATAAACTATTTATCTATCTACTCCAGCGGTTACCCCCATTTGAATAGATGGCGGTCATGTTGGTCGTTCCCAATTGCTAATAAAAGCTTATAAACAACAATAACTTTCATCATTTGAATAGTTTGAAAATGTATTTGGAATAGGTTTAACTTAATGTTTAAGTTCCCTGTTTAAGAAATAGAAAATATACGAATCTTCTCATTTCATGGGAACGACCTGAGACTGCAATCACGGCTTCAATTTTTGAATTGCAGAATAATTAGATGCACTATCTAGTGTATATAAGATATCTATGAGCAATATACGTTGTAAATAATTAAATTAGTTTGCTTTCGGTCTCCTCTTGTAGTAACCAGCAACGAATGATCGTTACGTATACAGAACCTCTAGGAAGAACAATATACAACCAGTATGGACTAGGTTACGTTTAGTAACACTTCACCAACAAGAGGTGATCCTTACTGGGAAGAAAAGTGTAGAGCTGATAGAGCTATCCAGTCTAGGTAAAGCTGGTTAAAGTATCTCCATCATCTCAACTTACAATAAATCCAACACCAGTTGATTCTTGGTGAGCAATTTTTATTTCATCTTTCCAGTCGTCGTAATTAAACTGTTCATCTTCAATATTCACGTCAATAATGTGAACGTCGAAATTTTGTTCGCGACAGAATTTTCTCAACTCAGGAAATACTCTCTCATCTAAAATAAGTCTTTCCTCAGCCATCTCTAGTTGAAAGAAAGAATAAAAACTGTTTTTTAAACACAAAGGGTGAGATAGCTACGGATTTGCCTCGTTTCAGCAAGGATTGTGATGGCAATTATAACGGTCCATGGCATGCATTCTTTTCAAAATCCTTTTTTCTCGCTGATGGTTTTGGCTAACAGGTTTGTTTGTTAAATCGACTAACTGACTTGATGTTAAACACTGAGTGAGTTCCCTCAAACATTTCTTACAAATCTTTCAAAAATTTCTATTGTGATCACAGAAACTTTGACATTGTGAACCTTAAGTTTAAGGCTTAACGTGGGAAAGGTTTATACGTGAAAAAGAGAGGGATCATTTATCAAGACGAACTATCTGTGTAGATTGTCTACTCTGACGAACAGTTGCGTGGTTGGCTGGACGTACGTACTTGTGAACCGTTTTAATATGTGCATAAATACAGCATTATAGAAACTGTCACAGAAAAGCATCGTTACTCAAAGTTGAGAAATTTTCAGGCATGGTTTGTTTCGGCACTGTAGCCAGCACTATAGTTTGCGCTATTTTTGTTAGTTGGCTTGGATTTTTATAGCTTTGCGTTGGCAGTAACACGGATGAAAAAAGATGCAACATGACGGATAATTCATATGTGTTATAAAGCAGGTCATTATTTACCTTCGTGGATGGATGCCACGACAATTTTAACCATTTTAGGCAAAGTCGGTATCTCCGTGTTGACATCCCCTTTGATAACCCGTTCCCGCACCAACTGAGAAAGAGCACTTTCTTTCAATGAATTCTCATCCTTGTCTTCGTCCTCTAAGGAAATAAGGAGGACAGAAAATTTTAAAAACATGCAATGAACTCTAACTCACTTTTGGACTGTGGTTCAATTTCCTCATCACTTGTGAGAAGATTACTAACTCCGAATGCATGCTCTGCTCTCCTTCTGTAGTAACAATGGAACAATAAGAAATGACTCTTTGATAGTCTGGAGGAAAATGGTCATGCAATTTGAAAGGATAGTTAGGGGCCATTACAGTCAGATAAATTTTAAGTCAATTGTGAGCGAAATATTTTGTGAAATTGCCCTTTCAACCTTTTTGTCCGGTATCATGAAAATACTTTATCATGCAGTTGTCAATAAAAATACAGGCAAGAGTCGGTGGAAGGTAAACCGATATCCACGACTTTCTTGCAAGTATAAATTTATATACGTTATATAGTGTTGTCTCATAGTCCCCAAACCTGATATTCCATTAATCTCGTTACGATTCACTGGATAGACGTCGATATCCGACTCATCGACGTACGTAGTGCCTGTTGTGTCGTCAAGAAAATCCTTTTTACGGCTTCTTCTTGAGTTTTTCTTTGTTTTTTGAAGTGACTCGACTTCTTCGCTTCCATCTGGTTCGCCACGTTTGTAGCTGTCATCTTTCCTGCTGTAATCATGACGACCGAGGATTCTTAGTAGTCTAAAGGGTTGAAATAGCGAGATAGGGCCATTCGGCTGTCATATCGTCATATATAGCTATAGGGCTGACAGTTTATTACATTGAGGGGAGGCGTTCTTGAAGTTAGTTTGAGTCACTTGTTGTAAAACAGCGAGATGAACTTGAAATTGACGGTTTTGAACTCCTTCGGATTGAATTTCGAATGAATTGGCACCCTGCTTTATCTATACTGGATAGCTCTCTCTTCTAAAACCAAGCGAAACTAACTTGGTTAGCCGTTTATCAGTTCTATAATTTATAAACTGTTCTTCCTGGAGCGAAGGCACCCTTAGATTTCTTCTTTTTTTTTAACATTTTTTGGTGTAAAATAGGTAATTGGACAAATACTAGTGTAAAACATTGTGTAACCTAAATAATGAGAGGACCAGTATTCAAAATTAATTGTTATGTTCTTTATTCCTACTCCTATATGGTGAACATATACGTAATAAACCATATAGGGAAATTACGATTACAGTATAAGAACTAAAAAAGGTGAAATATTTGTGGGACACGATAATCCTCAGTATATCCTCGCCTTTTATCGTGTCCGCCACAAATATTTCACCTTTTTTAGTTCCTGTAATCGTAGTTGCCGTAGTTTATTACGTACACGTATATATTCACCAGGAGTCGGAGCAAAGAACAACAAATTTTGAATACTGGTCCTCTCATTATTTAGGCTACACAATGTCTTACACCAGTACTTGCATGTCCAATTACCTATTTTACACCAAAAAAATTGATAGCTGTATCAGTTCTTAACTGTTTTCCTATAGAGATCCAGTAAGGTATTCTTTAATTAGTACAATAGGAAGATTCAGAATTGACTTCCGCTACTGGTTTGACAAAGTCTAACCGCACTCAGTTCTCACAAATATGAATGAGGCGAAATTATCAGAGAAAATAAAGTCACGTCCCTATATATAAAGTCTCAGATATGAGAGGCACCGAAACAGCTATGTGATTATGCAGAGATAATATCAGCAAGATTAGAGAGAAACTGTACATTGCCAATATATGAAATTGTTTAATATCGCGGCAACAAGTTACGTGGGGTCGTATCATGGCAGAAACGTAAGATAGTTCAAACATTCTGACTGAAAAATTTCCTTTTATAGTTGCACCGCAACACATGATATTGGCTTTGTATATCTTATATGTTACGAGTGTTTGTTTTGACTTTTTAAATCTAATATCCTCCTTCACCCACACATACGCGAAAACGCGTTTTAACGTTAACTTATCTGATGTATTGAACAATGAAATAGTTTCACCAAGTGTGATAATTGAATGAACCACATTCTCGTCAAATGTGTAGGAATGAGTGATCAAGTGAAGAAATTGTTCACTCTATGTGTTGACCTTGTGTTTCGTGGTTAATACATGGAATGGAACTATTTAGGATCGTTTGCTCGCTAACTTAAAATGTATTCACACTGATAGGAACCATAATTATGTACACTGCATGCATAAAAGGTCGTTATACCGAAGCCCACCTGTAGACTCTATAGTACCTAATACCTATGCACCAATTTATCTAGCTATTATCAAATGATGATCTGCATGAATGGTTTTAACAGTATGCAAATGTGAAAATAAGAATCAAACATAATGGTGACTTGTCTTGGCATGTTTATTTTTCACAGGCAAAAATTGGCAAGTTAAACATACGAAACAATTCGTAAATGTGTACGAATTAAACAAAGCACGGCGAAATGCCAAATGATTATTTATATACACAATTTGAGGACACATATTGTTTGCTTTGTATTATCATAGCGACACTTAAGTCTAGGTCTGTACGGATTTTAATTGATTTTGACAAAAATTGACGATTTATTCGAGTCCAACCAAATGAAGATTTTAGATTTACCACAAATCATGAAGTGGTCAAAATTCCAGATGATGATAGTTTAATTATCAACATGTTACAGATTGTTTCAGTATAAATGTATTCAAAGCTTTAGAATACTCAAGTCAATACAATAATATTGCATCTTCGCTTTGGCCAACAGTAACAGTATTTAAAAAAAAATTTAGCTTTTTAGGTATCACATATATTGCCTATTTAGGTATCACCTATATATATATATATATTGTCCATATTTCCTAAACTACCTTGCTATCCTTATTAATTCTGATACTGCAGTAGATTATCTTTACCTGTATCGGCTCTGACGAGTACAATCTATCGGCCTCGATGTTTGGGGCTTTGAACAGCACGTGCCCATGTTGAAACCAGTTAATTCTTACACAGGTCGTAAAGCAAGTCCATTATGTTGGATACGTTGTTAATATCGTATGATTCTAAATCGGGTTCCGTTCATTGAAGTCTTTATAATGCATAGCTATACTCAATTCCTCCTACACATTATAAACAAAGATAGTTGATGAATTATTCAGCTTGAAATGTCTTGTGTCATTCTGCCCACTTATAAACACACCCTAAGGAAATAGATTGTATGTAAATGTTGCATTCATTGAATATGACAGCGGATGGTCGTTGAGCAAATGATGTTCATTCTTTTCATTATGTATATGGTAGTACTGCATTTTGTGGTAAATTTGAAAGATTTGTTTTAATTTCAGTCTTGCTTTGATATATAAATGCCTACATTTCTCAAGCTGACCATCTGCTTGGCTGTACATAAAGTTAGCACTATTTTCCATCCAGCAAATTGACCTGACGTCATTTTCGGAAGATAGAAGAAGTGTTAAATGGCTATGTAACTAACCCTACCCCTACTCTAACCCTAACCGCAACCCTAACCCTAACCCTAACCGAATTAATAAAAAAATCCAAAAAATTGATAGGGCGGTTTGCTGGATGGAAAAAAGTGCTAACCGTACATAAACGCTTAGGTTATGCTAGGTACACTACTGACTGGATAGCTGTCCGGCGTAGCGGCGCAAAAAGCATCTATCAGATACGGAAATGTACAACTTTCAGAAGCTGAGCGAAACAACATCTCTCCGTTGCAATAATTCCTCTGAAAATAGCGTTTTTAAACTGAAAGTAGGGATATGTGTTTTTCACGTCGCTACGGAAAGCTAAACAGTGTGAACGTAGCCTATAATGAAAGCTGGCCTGGAACAATCAGTTGAACTAATGGACCTTTCCCCTTATAACTAAAATTTCGATCTAGACAAAAATTTCATCACAGCTCGAAAGAGTATCACAAAATTAGTAATATTCCCAAGTTTTGTTGCAAAATCTTGTAAAATGCGGATAATATAGCCCTGCGAAGTTTGCCGTTTTTCAGTCATTTTGTATTACAAACGGGAAATTGACATCCGATTCGGGTGTTGGGGCTGCAATTTCCCGTTTGTAATGCAAAATGACTGAAAATTGCAAACTTCGCAAGGCTCTATTTTCCTCATTTTACAACATTTCGCAACGAAACTTTGGAATATTACTAATTTTGTGATGCTCTTTCAAGCTGTGATGAAATATTTGTCTAGACTTGCCTAGATCAAAATTTTGGTTATAAGGGGAAAGGTCTATTAAAGCCTCGTTTACACTATACCGGATTGCTATAGGAGCGGTCAAATTTTGTAGGTATTGAAAGGCTGTGAAGATTTTTAATCTCAGAGACCCAACCAAATAAAATGGCAGTTCTGTCAAACTAATAAGCATTTGCTACTAACGATTTCTCCTTAACGGCAAAAGAAGATGTCGCGACGAGCGAATCCGGTTTAGTGTAAACAGGGCGTAAGACATGGTGTCCTGATTCATTTAATTATAACCAGACTGTACCAAATGAAATTTTCAATTAATTTCTTGAAAAGGTACTAAAATGAAGAAAACTTTATACAGGATATAGATTATAGTTTATAGAATCGTGTTTATACAAAGGGAATATGTAGTGTTTTTGTTGTATGGTGACGAGGAACTGAAAGGCCTCTCAATATTTCGGAAACAGGGACTTCGTCTTAGGTTTGTGTGCAGTTTTGCACACTTTGTAGACTGATGCTTGGAGGTGAGGAACTACTGTATTTCCTTGCAATGATGAGCAAAAAACTGGAAGGGCGAACCACTGTGTCATCACAAAAAGGCAAGGACAAGTCCCTCGTAACACTGATGAGTCCTTGGAACATGGCTATATAAAATTAGTTACACAACTGAAACTGTATGCGATTCAAATAAACCAGAGCTTTGTTTTCAAACTAATGTCTTAGACTAAGAATTCGTTAATTAATTTCTTTAAGTTGTCATTCGTTATTCATTTCTGTAGTTGTCAGTCCAAAATATGCAAAACAATTATAAATTTATTATAAGTAATAACTTGTTAGCTAGTTGAAAATTTTTCAAGCGAAACATTTTTATTTGTCTTTACCAGGTTTCATCAAACAAGTGCAGGTGAAGTGTATACCAATGGATTGCCGGTCTAATATATATCCCTCTTGACAGAAGAGTTAAAAAAGCCATAAAATCATTTATCAGAGACAAAATTTCAGTGTTGCTGTAATAAGTGCAATTCCATAAGGCATAAACGTGGAAAAAGTGTTAATGTATAAAGATGAATCTGAAATTTAATCGAGAAGCCGCGGGGTTTTTAGTTGAGATTACAGGTGAATTGTTAGATTGTAAAGTCACCCCGGGACCCGCTGTAAAACCCTATTACCTAAAGCAAATATGCACTTGTCTTTTCACTTCATGTGTGTTATTTGATTCTCAATTGAACAAGCCTGTTTTCATTTTTCATCGCTCGAAATGGAGTTCAAAACAAGATTGATACGCTCCTTCAAAATGTTTTTAACATTTTCTGCATGTTTCTTACTTGTCCTCGCTGTGGCACTCGAGGACAATTCCACGAAACGATCCGCAGGGGAACAAGAAAGTGAGAAATACAACGTTTTGATCCTTGGGGCAGGCATTAGTGCTGCGAAAACTCTTTACGATGCGGGGATAACCAATTTTCGTGTTCTAGAAGCGACAACTCGTATCGGTGGACGATTATTGGTGAAGGATTTCGGCGGGGCAGCCATAGAATTGGGAGGAAACTGGGTACATGGAACGGACAACAATCCAATTTGGGCATTGGTTCAACAAGCTGGGTTAAGCCGTGTGGATACAATGATTGAACCGACGGAAGGTCAATACATTGTACTGGATGAAAATGGCACTGATGTGACCTCGGAAGACGGCCATAAAGAAATGGAATCTGTAAGCGACTGCCTTGACAAACTTATAGAAGAGCAAAGAGCAAAGAAAGCACCGGATTTTAGCGTACGAGATGGCCTCGCTACATGTAAATGGGTTCCAAAACACCCCGCGTAAACATCCATCGAATATTATGACCATGATTTTGATGCAGCGGTCCCTCCAGAAGAGATTTCTTGCGGAGTAAATTTGAAATCAGATGGTGAAATAGATTCCACTGGCGGCAGACAGGTCTTAATCAGCGATCGAAGAGGGTATGCAAGCATCATTTCGAAAATGGCTGAGACTTTTAAGGATCAGGTGCTAGGGAATCATTTGGTGAAACAAATCTCGTGGGATAAAGAAGTGACGGTCGAAGTTGTAGTCGGAATGGAAACAAAAATTTTTAAAGCAGATTTTGTTCTGGTCACATTTAGCATTGGAGTACTTCGAGAGCAACTCGAGTCTATGTTTAACCCTGCCTTGCCTCCACCGTTTCAACAATTGCTTGGAAAAATAGAAATGGCAAACTATCTTAAGATCTTTATGAAGTTTTCTGAGAGGTTTTGGCCACCTCAGTACGACTACATTTTCTATGCAAGCAAGGACCCTAAGGACCGAGGTTTGATATACTTTTAATCAGAAAGGCTAATGTCTAATGATAAAATGTAACTTGTGGTTAGAGCTCGACAACCATAGGCGGTACGAGACATGGGGGCAGGATGGCAACTGTCCCCCCAAAAACTTTGGGAAACCATATATGGCCGAAATTCCGGCAAGTGATAGGAAAAATCAAGAAATTTCGGGCAGATTTAACAGAAAGTGTGTTAAGTTCAGGTTATTTCATTACAATAAAAAAAATCAGGCAAACTTCCAAACGCCTCCCCCCCCTCCAAAAAAAAACCAGCCCCGTACGCCTATGTCGATAATTGGACTGTGTAGCAGCTCAGTTGGTTAGAACACTGCCCGGGACCACAGGTTCTAGAAGGGGGGGGGGGGCCTATTGTGGCATTTCCGAAACTGTTCCTGGTTAGGTATAAAAATGTATAAAATTTACACTCGAGTTTTGCATCTGCAAAAACCTTCCAAGTTCCAACAAGGGACGCCGGAACTGGGGGGCAGGGGGGGCAGAAGTGCCCTTTTAGTTGTAAAATAATACGTGATAAATCACATTTCCAACGATGCTTTTTGTAGGAAAATCACGAGATTCAGGTAATTTATAGTTTATTTTTATAAAATTTTTTGGAAATTTTTGGAATTTAGAAAAATATTTTGAAGAAATGGCGAAAATTTAAGATATCCGGAAAAATTTTTGGCTTCACGGAGAATTTTTGTATGTCGGGAAACAATTTTTGACCCCTAAAATGGTACACTGACCGAAATTTTTTTGGCGACGGGGGGAGGTCGCCAAAAAATTTTGCAGTGAAAAAAAATTTTTCAGTAAAGGTGCCCTTGGTGTGCGTCCGCCCCCCTTTGCCCTATTATCGTTCCGGCGTCCCTGGTTCCAACATTTAGTTCTATCAAGTGAGATGCCCCAAACCCTGATTTTAATATTCAGTTAGGTAATTATAACACATTTTTAATTTTTCTAAAGGTTTTTATCCAGTTTGGCAAAACTTACCAGGAAGCCAGACCAATATCCCTGAAAACGACAAAATATTACTGGTGACAGTCACTGGGAAGAAAGCGCAGGAGTTGAGGGAAGATAGAGAAAGAATCGCAACCGAATTGGTGCCTGTTCTCAAAAAGGTTTTCGTCAACTTCATTAAACCACTTGAAAAAGAACCTGTCCTTGTCGGTATAGAATTAAAGAACTGGGAATTGGATCCGCTATTCCGAGGGGCGTATTCCAATACTGTAATCGGCATCACAAGCCTTCATTTCAATACCCTGTTACAGCCTGTTGGTGGAAAGCTGTTTTTCGCTGGAGAAGGTCTAAGTGAGTTGTACTATGGGTTTTTGCATGGTGCATATCTTACTGGCGAAGAACAAGCGAAGAAGATTATCGGTGTTATACAATACCAAAAGAGTTTGAAACCGAAAGCAATACAGAAGATCGGTTTGAATTACGCGCTGCGTAAAAGCATTGGTAAACCAGGAAACGGAACTAAATACTAGATGTTGTCCGAATCTTCAAAGCTTCAACCAAAACATTCGACATTCATTGGTAGTTTACACTAACCACCCGATTCATGCAACGGATGGTGGTCTGTCCTCAGAGTGGGGACAATGGCCTGCGAGCAGGCTCTCCAGAGAGCCTGTTCGCAGGCTAACATTATGCTAATTGTTTTCATAAAGGAATGCTCTATTAAAAATAAGACAATGTCAACATTTCTGAAATTGACCACCATCTGTTGCTCGGTATTGCTTACTGAAACCTACCATTACTGAAACTTTATTACTGCTGTGGTTTGTAGATACTGAGATAATACATCATCAATAACATGAAGTATTCTCGGGCTTAGCTATCAATACATGCAGGCTCACTTCGTCATCAAAAAAAAATTTCATATTAATAACATTCTATATACTTAAAGCATTTGTGAACTTTTACGTGTAAAAATTAGACCCTGTCTTGCTTATAAATGACTTAAAAAGATGTATAGAAATGAAGAGCTTGAACTCAGGAACTTTGGTAGCCAGGACTTTAAAAATCGCGTCATGTATTGCGTTCATGTACACGTTTTCCATCAGCTTAACTTTCTATAATAAATGGATTATGAAGGTATGTGGCAAAATGGTTCTATATTTTAAATGAAATATTGTAAATCAAAGTTTTAGATGCTGTGGGGGGTACTAAATATATTTAACTTTATTTTCAATAACTAAAGTAGTTTAATTAAACATTACAGTATGGTTTAATAGTTTAATTATATTTATTAAAACAGAAACAATGGGTCTTGTTTTAATATGCACCAGTCATGGCCTTAGGCCACTCCAAATTAGACTTTAGTTTCCCGTCCGGGCCTTATTTCAAATTACACACGGGCGGTCCATTTCCATTATCCATTATGGTGTCTGAACGAATCTGACACGACCCATTATTCCATGAAATAGTTACACATTTTAAATATCCATTCAACCACGTTACTACGTTCTGTTTTGGTTTTTTGTATGCAGAAATGAAAGCCAGGATATTAATTAACCTTACGTTCGAAAATCAAAACGTGTAACGGAAGTGTCTAGCTCAGCGGTTAGAAGTTTACTGTAGTAAAAACGAACAAAAACAACAATTCACGCTCTTTCATAAAAGTTTGAACAATTTTGTTTTGATTTTTACGTATTATATGATAAATATGTATTTCTTGAACGATAGATTTTTCGAAAACTGTGCATTTTCGTTATTCTTAGTCATAAAGGTCAAATAATGGAAACAAGTTCGCAATAATGGACAAATCATGCGGCCAGTTCTAGGAGACGCGGGCGGAGGACGGGAAACTAAAGTCTAATTTGGAGTGGCCTTAGGGGCGACACTTGAGTTGCGGCAGAAACCGTAGAAGCCATACTTTCTCAAATGGCATCAAAGTGTGTCTCATTTTTAATTACAAAATTAAGTTGTTAATAATTTTTCTATTTAGCAATTTCATTTTCCATTGTCACTTTCAATGGTTCATTACAGTGTTGTGTTTCTGTTAACTGCAATAACGAGAAGAATATGGGAGATACGTTCGAATAAAAAACGTGTTCTCTTAGAGTGGTCTGTGTATTTAAAAAGAGTCCCTGCAACAGGTACTGATGGAATCTGGCATTTAGCAGAATAATTAATATTGAAATAGTAATGCGTGAGTATTTTGATTTGGTGGGGCAGTTGGTTGTCCCATTAATCTGTCGGTCGGTTGGCCAGTCGTTTAATTGATTGGTTGGCCAGTTGATCAGTTGGTTGGCCTGCTGGCTTGTCGGTCGGTTGGCTTGTCGGTCGGTTAGCTTGTCGGTCGGTTGGTTTGTTGGTCGGTCGGTTGGCCTGTTGGTCGGTTGGCCTGTCGGTCGGTTGGCCTGTCGGTCGGTTGGCCTGTTGGTCGGTTGGCCTGTCGGTCGGTTGGCCTGTTGGTCGGTTGGCCTGTCGGTCGGTTGGCCTGTGGGTCGGTTGGCTTGTTGGTCGGTTGGCCTGTCGGTCGGTTGGCTTGTCGGTCAGTTGGCCAGTCGGTTGGCTTGTTGGTTGGTCGGTCGGCCCATCAATCACTTGGCCTGTCAATTGGTTGGCTTGTTGGTTGGTTGGCCTGTTGGTTGGTTGGTTTGTCTGTCAGTTGGTTGGCAAGTCAGTTGGTTGGCAAGTCAGTTTGTCTGTCTGTCGGATGGACAATTGGTTGGTTGACCAGTTGGTAACCACACACCAGTATCTATGCATGTGTTCCATGGAATATTGCATTAACTTGGCAAATCTCTTGTTCTTTCTTTATTTCAGCGATAGCAACAGCATTAGATATTGGTTTTTCGAATTGGAGTTTAATGTTTATTACTGTGTCATTGTAAGTATTAATTTTCTGCATTTTTTTGTTGTATGTTTCTATAGATTGTAATTTATATTTTTACTTTTTATAATTTTTATTTCATCAGGTATACAATGTGCAAGACATCTGCAATCCTATTTATTCTCATATTTTCACTTATTTTTGGATTGGAAAAATTTGTAAGTTTTAAGCCTTCATTTAATTACCAGTGAGAGTACTTTGAACTTAAATTTTTTTCTGAATATTTAGTATGTGAGTAGCGGTTAATGTTATAATACATTTTTTATTTCAATTTTAACAGCACTATATTTTATTTCTCGTTGTTTTCCTAATTGCTGGAGGACTTTTCATGTTTACATACGAATCAACACAATTTAATTTCACTGGATTTCTTCTTGTAAGTTGATGCATCATTTTCTATAATTAATTATAATAATTTATGATAATATCACTGATTGTAAATATTCCTATAATACTATTATTCAATGTGAGTTGGTAGGCTTTAAACATTAACAGAATATGTTATCTGTTCAATGTTCAGGTTATGACAGCAAGCTCAATGAGTGGGATACGCTGGGCAACAACACAAATGTTACTACAGAAAGAAAGTTTTGGTGAGTATACATGCACCTACATCCCTCTTTATAAAGTCAGAAAAATATAGATGGATAGAAATTCAACTACTATAACTGATAAAAATACAAGTAGAACTTCGACTTTTCAAGTGAAGAGCCTTGCATTTTTCAGATAGTTGAATCCTCATCCATCTGCATTTCTCTGTTGTTTTTGTCACTACCTACGCTTCCACAGATCACTCGAGTTTACTCTTTATAAACTTGCTAGCCTATGTGGTGTATAATTGATGGCATTTTCCCCCTAGGCTTATCTAGTCCTTTTGATACAATCTATCATCTTCAACCATTAATGGCTTTGGCAACACTTCCTTTAGCAATTGGTATAGAAGGTTGGTACAAAATGTTTACTGCCAGTGTAGCTTGGGAAGCATACAAGGATTTCCTTGTAAGGAAATTTTTGTTATTAGAACAAAAAAAAAGGGAATTATTTAATCACTTGTAAGTGAGGAAGCCCTGAGGATGGTTTTAATGATGCCAATTTTTACAGGTCCAAAGTTGGCAGTGTCTTTGCAAGCATTTCGTGCACCGTCAACTCATGTAATTGCCAGGACAGTTTCATTTGTCTTATTTGGCTCATCTCTGGCATTCATGTTAACTGTATCTGAGTATCTTTTGTTGGCTAACACGTCCAGTATAACTCTTGCAATTGCAGGAATTTTTAAGGTACAGTTTGCTACAGTATTGTTCATTACACACAGAGGGAGCATTTGCCTCCAAATACAAGATGAAAAGAACTAAGTAAACATAATTGTTTTCTCACAATTTTTTGTTTTGTTGTCCACCAGTTGCTGCACAATAGTACTTGATGAAATCTGCCCTATTGCAATAAAATGTATTATTTTTCTGCCAGGAATTGTGTACTATACTACTCGCAACGGAATTTGCTGGTGATGAAATGAATTTTACAAAATTTGGAGGTCTAGTGATTTGTCTATCAGGCATTTTTCTTCATGTTTACTATAAAGTAAAAAGTAAGATATTTTGTCATTTATTGTAAAACAAGTATTAGGGTGGTGTCTGATCCTGCTTTGCTGGATACCAAATGGTACCAGATAGTAGTCTACCAGATAATAACCAAATACTGATGGTGGTACTTGGCCAAGTGACGTCACTAACTTTTTGTCATAAAATAGTCCAAGCAAGAATTTCCATGAGCCAGGTTTATCATGACTGTTTGATCAAAATCTGATCTTCTGTTTACTCTCTAGGTGACGAGAACAAAGCTGTAACAACGTCAGCGCAGGATGAAGAAAGAGTTCAAATGCTAAGTACAAACAATGCATTCAGCTTTGATTCTGACGAGGATTAGTACTGGATAAGGCCTATAGTGCAAACCCGTAAACATTGTTTCCTAGCAATGTTTCCTGGAGATGGACAAACCAGGAAACATTGTTTCCTAGCCATGTTTCCCATTGGTGGACAAACCAGAAAACATTGTTTGCACAACAAAATTGTTAGGAAAATACTGAAAATATTTTTGAATTTATTGGAAAACATTGTTGGGAAGCAAGTACTATAAAACTCCAAACTACTTTTTAACCACTACAGTATTTTGTAGTTTATGCAGCCCCTGAAATGAGCATAGCAAATTATTTCACAAAGAACTATTTTCATAATTTTAAAATAGATTATATAAAAATATATACTGTATTTATGAATAAAATATATTTATCGTATATAATATAAGACGATATTTAATTTCTGCAATAAATATTTTTCAAATTCAGACAGCTTTAATTGAGAACAATTTTAATTAAATTTCACAGTATAGACACTGCATTGATAAAACTACTATATACTCCTATTGCCTCAATGTTTTAAATTGTTATACTTTCTGCACATATATATTAAGTATATTGTGCTGGTAACTTAGACTACTGTAGGTAAAATTTAGGGAGACTGTTCAGTGAATTGAAATCTAGTTCTTCTGGGAAAAAATAAAAATTAAGTCTTCTGAAATGGCATTTCCTGCATTTTGGGAAGATGTTGTTATAAGTGATCCGACCTATAAATTGCCATTAAGGAACTTCATAAAAAGGTCAAGACAGACTATTATGTTGCTAAAAACAGTATGTTTGTGTTTTTTTACTATATTTCCTGAATATTCTGAAAAATCTGGAGAATTTTATAAAAATCGGGAGACCAGGAGATTGCATGAATTTTCGGGAGACTCGGAGACTTTCGAGATTGTTGGAATGTCTGGTATCACACATGCCAGGATGAATTCGGAGTATTAGGGGCTGTTCATATGGAGCTGGGGTGGTCTGGTTAACCAGGATGATTGGTCACAGCTTTGATAAACATCCAAAATGACATTTCAAAGTTGAATTAATTTTGTCTGATTCCAGCAACAATATATAAAGTTCATTCAAACTCTCTTTTATGGTCAGGAAAAAAAGTTGTGACACGATTCATCCCAGCCAGCTAGGCTCATATGAACAGATTAATTAGGTAAGGTATAATTTGTGAAACAGTTGATCATTTAGAATTTGGCTAGTTTAGTTTTTGAACAATACATTTAACAAGTTTTTCGACATCTTTAGAGCGTTTCTTTCCAACTTCTAACACTTCTGCATGGCTAATATCATTCTGGACGTCGTAAGATAACTCAGCGGGGTTTGTTATCAACGAAATTCCCAGATTTTGCATACCACAGTGTGTTGCAACGATCACCTCGTGTGCTGTGCTCATGCCAACTGCGTCTGCACCAACCTGAAATATTTGAGGGATATAACAATGTTAGAAAATGTACAGAGTGACTAGAGTCAAACGTCTATTTACAGCATTGTAGGTATTCTACAATAAGCTGTCGTGGTTTGTGTCTTAACTACCTGAAAAATATATCTCAAACGTGGTGGTCCAGTGTAGGTAGTATTTTACAATGAGCTGTCGTGGTTTGTGTCTTAACTACCTGAAAAAGATATCTCAAACATGGGGGTCTTAAACTATAGGTACTGTACAGTGTACATATATATGTAGTATTCTATGATTAGCTGTTGTGCAGGTTAAACAGTTCAAAGTCTCTTTATCAGGGCTTTATAGCTATTGTTTTTAAACTGTCTTGGAGTACATAAGAGTTATGAAATCATGCACCTTATGTAAGTAGTTGAGTTCTGCGGTGGTTTCATACGAGGGTCCTCCAACGCATGCATAAACTCCTTCTCTTAGAAAAGAAGCAAAGTTTAGTTCCTGGCCAGTTTTCTTGGCTAGTTCACACAACTCTTTACTGTACGAACTGTTCATTGCTGGGAAGCGATCTCCAAACCTTAAAAATTATATAGAAAAGAATGATGGTAAATGATAATGCTGGAGAGTCAGATGGGTTCATTCTCTGCCCAGATTTATATTAGAGATTGATCATCTGTCAAGATGCATGATCTTAATCTTGGATTCCTGCTAACCTTTTATCATTAGGTCCTCTTAGTGGGTTCTGCCCAGCAAGAGCTACAAAATTTATATGATCTTTAATAATCATGACATCACCAACATTGAACGTGGGATTGATTCCTCCAGCGGCATTAGTAACAACCATTGTTTTGACGCCCAGTAAATGCATCACACGGATTGGAACAGTGACCTATTTATATGTCATAAGGTTAAGACGTAGCACAATATGTTTTGCTCAGAACAAAAGTTTGGTGTTTAATTAATTTCCAACCAACTACATATAACTATCATCACCATCATCACCGCTACCATCATCGCATGCATGCACCATCATCATCATCATAGCCACTGTCATCATCATCATTGCCACTGTCATTATCATCATTGCCACTATCATCATCATCATTGCCACTATCATCATAGCCACTATCATCATCATCATTGCCACTGTCATCATCATCATTGCCACTATCATCATCATCATAGCCACTGTCATCATCATCATTGCCACTATCATCATCATCATTGCCACTATCATCATCATCATAGCCACTATCATCATCATCATAGCCACTATCATCATCATCATAGCCACTATGAAAAACTATGCATTCACCATCTTTAACCAGTTTATAGTGTGT